TGGAATTGCAATCTTTAATCTTACACTTGCTTCTTCCTAAAAAGAACTTATGGAGGATTTTATATGTCTTTAAATAAACAGTGCATATTTGTAAGTATATGTTTGCATATGTACGTGTGTTTATAAAAACAGGTTAAAAGCACTTGGAGGAAGGGGAGGGGAGTTCGGAAGGATGCGTTAGCTTTTTCTCACTGACGAAATTCCTGAGAAAATTTTAAAGGAGGAAAGGTTTATTTTGGCTCAGTTTCAGTGCATGGCCAGCCGGCCCCATTGTGTTAGAGCTGGGAGAGGCAGAAACATCTTGGGAGAAGGGCGTAGGGGAGGACGGCTCAGCTCACGGTGGCCAGAAGGCAGGAGCACGGCAGAGCCAGAGAGGAAGGGGCCAGAGACCAGACGCAGTCCCCAAGGTCCCATGACTGACTCCATCAGCTGGGCACCACCTCCCATCTCACCTTCCAGGAGTGCCATCAAGGTAGGCTCTCATCTGTGGATTAACCAGCAGATAAAGTTCAAATCCTCATGATCCATTTGCTACCAAAACATTCCATCACCAACTAAGGCTTCAACAGTGTGCTTGGTGGGAAAGCATTGTGGATCCGATACATAGTATGCTGCCCCAGACCCCTAAAGGTTTATTATGTTCGTTTTACAATGCAGAATATACTCGGCCGTCTCCAGAATCCCCAAAGTCCCAGCAGTCTCAGCACCGCTCAGTAGTATAAATCCAGTCTCCTCTGAGACTCGAGGCAAACTCTTAGTGGTGAGCTCCTTTAGAATTAATATCAGGTTACATATTTACAGTTAATAGTCCCATTTCAGTGGCAAGAAATGGCACATAGAAAGAAAGGATGAAATCAGAACAAGACTAAAATCCAGCAGAGGAAACTCCGACTCCTGCCCCACCTGGGGCAGCCCTGCCCATGTGGTCTTGCTGCCTGTCACCCGCTGGCCCGTCTTGCTCCAGTGCAGCTGGCCTTTGTGGCTTTCCTTGGCAGACATCCATGTTCCCTGCAGGTTTCACTTGCCAAGGTCGCCATCACAGCTTTGCCTCACGCTCACTTCATGCATTGCTCTCTCAGGGCTCCTTGTGGGGTAATGACCCTGTTACACTTTGCCTGGCCCTTTTCAGCCCTTTCTTTGAATCCTCCATAACTTGCATTCTGCATTCCTGTAACACCAGCATCAAGTGGACAATGCCAAGGACTGCCCAGCTTGAGCAGCAGGCAGGCTTGCTTTCACTGTGGCTACAGAGGCCGCTGTGTTCCCTGATGACTGCATATAAGGAAATGAATCTTGTGGAACAGCCTCCTAGGTGACCCGTGGGAGCAGGGAGGCCCTCCCCCTCTTCTCAAAGCAAATATTTTCAAAAGAATTCACACTGCATACCCTTACACCTGACAGGGTCTGGGTCTGGCTGACTCCTGAGGTGCCCCCTAGGCGTCTTCCCATTGAGCAAGCGCAAAATAATGGGCTTGCTGTTAACAGCTTCTCTCTTCAGCCATACTGGCTGACCCCAACTTGAAATGAGTTTCTGTTCTGACCAGACTGCCAGTTTTTCAAATCTTGCCACTCTACTTCTTTGGTTTTCAATTCTCTCTGTAAATCTGGTTCAAGCAGCCAGCAATATTGATGCCACAGCCTGAATGCGGTGCTGTCTTGACATTTTCTTCACCGAATCAACTTGTTGGCCACCTTAAAATTCACTCTTACACAGAGTCTTAGGTCACATACAAGAAGAAGACAGGTTTTTTTTTTGTTTTGTTTTGTTTTTTTGCCAGAACGTAACGTGAACAGCTCCATGTGGAACTTCCTGACCTTTACTGTCCTTTTTACTGACCTTTACTGTCCCCTTTCTGTTAGCATTATTGTCAGGTGTGATCACAATGACTCCATTCCTGGTACCGATTTTCTGATGGGTCTGGGTCCACTGTGGAAACCCCTGCACATGATTTAAAGAAAGAAAGCTTTGTCTTGGCTCATGACTTGAGGAGGTCCAGTCCATGGTCAGCAGCTCTGCTGCTGTAGGTCTGTGGTGAGGCAGAGACGTCACAGTGGCAGGACATGGTGAAGCAAAGCTGCTCAGCTCATGGTGGCCGGAAGGAGGGACTGGAGAAAAGAGCCTGAGAGAAAGGCACCAGGGCCCTCTGGGGTCCCCAAGGTCATGCCTGCTCCATCCATGCCCTTCACCGCAGCCCTCCCTCCTGTTTCCACCACCGCCCGGGAGTGCTGTTAAACGCTGATCTCCAGCAAGCCATAGATGAAGTCTGAGCCCCGGGGTTCTGTGGCTTCTCTAGGACCCCTCTGAGCACTGTGCATTGCTGCTCAAACCTCGATACATGAGTCTTTGGGGGACTCTTCATAGGTAAACATAACAAGAGTTCGGGGATTTAGCTCAGTGGGGTAAACTGCTGCCTGGCAAGTGTGAGCTTGTGAATTTGATCCCTGGTACCAAAAATATTAAATAACAATAGATCTTGTGCACTTATTGAGAAATATCACAAATATCACAGTGTCTGAAGTTGAAGCACAGACACAAGTGTGAAATGTTGTGTGATACCCTTAGTGTGAAAGTAAGAGAGAAACTGAGTTTTTACTGCTGTTGAAACCTAACACAATGTTTTCCTTTGTGTGCTGATGATGACGACATTTCTGTGCTGGTAAATATCCCAGCAAACCCAACACCTGGTTTCCCAGGCCTGTGACCTACTTATTTTTCATCTTCTCCAATGGTGTCTCCCAGTGCAAACTGTTGGCAAAACTCCAAAGTATAGCTCAATAGAAGAAATTGGATTAGGTATTAAAATAATGCCAGGTAGATACCTAGCTTTCTAAAGATGGAACTAAGTATGTCTAGAAGGATGAGCTGCATCAGACGAATGTCCACACATATTTTTCTTGGTAACTGAGGCTGGACAAGAGTCAGGCAGCACGGACTGTGAGAAGTGGACGAGAGCTGTTGCTGGCCGATTTGGAGTGTGGCATTCCTGTGTCCTGAGCGATGTAGGTTTATGTGTGTTCACACTCAGCCATGGGCAGAACACAACTGGAGGCCTCTTCTGGGCTGTCTACAGAGGACTGGGGTGTGTGGCTTCAGAGTGCTTACTTGGCAGAATCGCCCTGCCAGTCAGCATCTATCAAACCAGAATGTGCTAAATTGCCGTTCTCTCTCCGCGAGCTCCTCACAGCCCTGGGCATACACGCAGCTTTCGTCCTGTTGTTTATGTGTAAATAGGATGGCCTCCGTGTCAGACATGGTTTGGCTTATTTCAGTAGTGGACACTGAACTTAGGGCCTTTGCACTGAGCTGAATCCCTGGCCTTTTTAAAAATTTTATTTTTGTAACAGGGTCTAACTCACTCAATAAAATTCCCAGGCTAAATTTAAACTTTCCATCCCCCCACTTCAGCCTTGCAGAGTGGTGGGGTTAAAGGTGTGTGTTGTCCTGCCTGGCCTGGACAGTGATCTATTTGTATTCAAATAATTTATTATTAACCTTTTTATCCTTAGTATATAGTTTCAGCCTGGTAAATAATCAGGCGTGGTATATTTTCTTGATCTATCATGATTTAAGAAAGCGAAAGTGGTAGATCACGTGCTTGCGGGTAGAGTGCTCACCCAGCAATGGGCTGATTTCACCCTTCCCTCCCGTTCGCCATTTTACAGTCATGGCCTGAGCTTCAGGCATGGCGGCCGATGGTGACAGATTTCTTCCAGTGTCCCTGCAGCTCCCCTCGGCTGACAGACACCTTGCCCTGCAGTTACGATGTGGATGCTTGGAATAATTCCCAAATTCATCATTCTGTGAGTAAGAGTGGTGAAGTAACCAAGTTCTGGTCAGGAAGATGTAAGCAGAACCTGTTAGCAAGCATCTTACATTTCCTCTTCCTTCTTCATGCTGGGTGGAATACAGTCACAGTGGCTGGAGCTCGGCAGCCTTGGGGACCATGAAGAGGAAGCCCATGTCAAGAGTGGCCAAAAGAAAGAGCTTTGGCTCATGGTCCTGCAGTTGCCACATCCTCTGTGGGCTCTGGAGGGTGATTTCTGTAAGGGACAAGTAAATAGTCTTTCCTAAGAAACTTTGATTTGGGGTTTTTGGGAAACTTGTGACTAAGCTCCATGCTAACAGTTTGGGGTGTGTCTTCCTAGGGCCCTCTTCTGTGTACCCATGCGCCCAGTGTGTGTCTTTGCTACAATACTTGCTTCTGGATGACAAAGGGTCCTTCAAAGGCAGGGTCAGCATGTTATTCAAGTGTCACTCATCTTGGTCCTCAAGCTAGAAATGCACGTGGCATGTGGTGTGATCAGAAATGTGGTTACTGTTTAAAATGCTTACTGCAATAAAGGCACATTCGTAGCCTCCTCAGAACTGCCCTCTCGCTTTGAGCACACTTAGCTAAGCACTCTCCCCGCCTTCTGGAGCAGATCTGGAAGTGCTCTGCCAGGAGAGTCTTTACAATGTGTCTGCTGCTGTGGGTGCCGTCGAAGAGAAAGGCGGGCACTGACACCATCTTGCCATGTGGTCCCCACCCAGACCTGGTCCCGTGTGACTTCAGGCTCTTCCCAAAAGCCAGATGAGCCAGGCGAGCGAATGCTTTAAATCCATTCAGGACATGGAGGCAGCCGTGGCCGGCAGCGGAAGGCGCTCCCGGAGGATGATAGCACAGGAGTGCTGAAGCAGAGACAGCGTTTTGAAGAGGGTTAATGGCAACGTACCTCTACGGCGATAATTTAAAAATTTAAGCTTTATTGTATTTCCCTATCACAGCTTGTCTTATACTCCGGGGAATGAACAGTTTAAAAACCTTCGCATTGGTTTTGAAGTAAGGCATTGAAGTCTTCGTTTAACTTTTTTACTAATTCGTGATGCATCATAGTTTAGGAAAAACAATCACATTTACTCTGGCTTATCTTATACAATAACACAGCTACTGATCTCTTTGAAATAAATCTGTGACGAGTCATTACAGACCAGAGACATCACTGTGTCCCTTTTTGTTTAGATCCTCTCAGACTGCATTGTTCCAGCAGCAAAGCAAAAATTGCCAGTGGTCCTGTGGCCTGGACCTGCGGCTCTCCTGAACTGAAGCCCAGAGGACTCCCCACAGGCTGCTGCCATGTCTGTCTCCAATCTGCCGTGGTGAGTCATCCACCTTCCTGTCCTAAACACAAATAGCCATGTGTCGGAGCTGCGTTCCAGGAGCTGGTGTGCATCAGACCTTGGCCAGGGAGGGACCAGATTGCCGTCTTTTGCATGCAAGGAGTGGAGCTGAGCGTAAGAGTTGGGCACTTAGTGCTGGGCTGTCTGGGCACCTGGGGAGTGCCAGGGCTATCCCCACCTTCCTTTCCAGCAGGCCCATGGGAGCGTGGGCAGGATCCAAACACCTTTGGGTGGCCTTCCTTCTGGCCTGGCCCCTGCTGGGGACTCATGAGCCGTAGGTGTGGCTGTGACAGGGCCAGGACAGTCCTCATCAGGACCTGCAGTCCCCAGGCTGCATCTTTCAACAAATGTAAGCAAACTCAACTGAATAGAACTCAAATACAGGAGAGAAAAGTTGCCTGGTAGACGCCAGCTCTGCCTGTCTCTAAAGAGCAGACGTTCTGAGTAATCTTTGAATTCAGTTCATGTTCAAACGTCATTTGCAGTTTAATCAGAGGAGGGCAAAGATGCTTTCTGGCAGATCATCAGCTCTCCTATGGCACGGAAGAGCGATGCTGGCAGGGATAAATTTGAAGCCATTTTATTGAACTTTGGTTCTTTTTATATAAAGAGGTGTATCAGTGATGTGCACACAAATTCACAGTATTCAACGCATGAGTGGAAGAAAAATCTGGTAATCTTTTCCCTCCCATGAGTGCCTTTCGTGTGGGGCTGGAAATAGAGATAGCATCAGATTAAAGGGTCACTTGCTCTCTCAGCCAAGCTCCAAACTGTGCTTTTACTTAGGCAAGCAGTTTCCTTGGAGCAGACACGTGCTAAGATCACCTAGAGCAGTGTTTCTGAGGACCTGGAGCTCAGGGACACTCACTTCATCTTTGGGAGCTTGACCTTGATATTATTAAAATAAAATTAGCACTAAATAATTTTTAAAATTTATTTTCTGTGGAATATTTAAACCTTCTCACATCCCTAGGAGATGGTGATATGTTTAAAGGAATCATACCCTTGGCAAATGTTTGTAGAAGAGAAATCCTATAAAAATAGCATGCTGAAAAAGAGGAGGAAAGGGGGAAGGAAAGGGAAGAGAGGAGGAGGGGAGGGAGAGGAGAAGGGGCAAGCAGAGAGGACCCTGTTCCTCTCGGGACGTCAGTGTGGCATGGTTCACTGTTCAGTTCCAGCCAACCCCAGGTCCTGCCTCCTGCCTTGCCTCCTGTTAAAGGCTGCCCTGATGTGATGTGACTTGGCCTAGGGACATCTAAATGCAAAGAGAGAGTGTGGCACTGACAGTTGGCATGTGTTCTGTCCGTGCGTGCTGTAGAGACAAGTGACAAAAGGTGAAACTGGAGATCGGCGGTAGCCGCATTATCTTCCTAGGTGCAAACTTCAAGTTGTGGGGCTCTTGTGGGGATCGCATGTCTAAAATCAAGAATTCCCCACACCCCAGGTTCATTCAGATAGTGCAGACACCGAGCTGGAGGATGCTCACATGTCTGCACAGGCAGCGCCCTTCCTGCCTGATACCCACGGTGTCCCCAGGGACTTCCCAGCTGGGGGGTTCCTGGCTGGCCTCTCAGGTGCCACGTCCTACCCTGTGCCCATGGTTGGGTGGCTCTGGTATTTCTGTTCTCACTGGGAATCGGCATGGAGTAGGAACACAGAGTGAATTTGAGATGTCCAGGTGGGTCGCGATTCGTGTCTTTACAGTGGTTAGATATCATTCACGTTGTTCCCATGATCCCTGCCACTCTTTCCAGTTTCCCGAAGTCCTGGCTGTGGGAATCCTCCACAGAGGTACAGCAACCTAATGGAGCTTCGGTGGCCCGTGGTCTGGCTCTGGTTTTAAATCCTGAAAATGCTCCTTCTTCAGAAATACGCTGTTTGGGGACCGCTCATGTGGACACCGTTGGTGACTCGGTGTGAGGCTGCGGGCTGTGTGCTGACTCTGTCCCCTGGGCTCACATCGTCCCCAGGGGAGTCCGGTGCCTCTGGTGGGCGTGCAAGACCCTGAGAATGGACACAGCGGGAAACAAGCCTGTGCACAGGAGGCTCTCAGGGCTCTACCTGGGTCAGGAAGTCCCTGTGCCTCAACAGTTCTTATCGAGGGGGTGCTCTGAGCCCCACTTCCGCTGCATGCCTCACCGCCTGGCTGCCTGTGCCTCCCAGCTGTCCTCCGCCTGTGTGTGTATTTGCTGCTCACCCTAAGGGTGCGAGGGACCCAGCTGCTCCCGTGTGGATTCACACTTAACCCTGGGATGCAATGTGTGTGCTGCGAATGGTCCTTGTGTTTAACGTAGGAATAGAGACACTACTGGCTGAGTTCTTACATTCTTTCACACAACTACCCAAGTGATGCCCCTGGCTTTTAAATACCAGCTATAAAAATCATCTTTTTGTATTTTTAAAAACATTTTTCTCTAGAAGTTATGGGTACACCATATATATAGTCTTGACTTTTTCATACAATCTCAAAAGGAAATATACTTCCAAGTTTAAGAAAACTGTCATCTCTAGCAAAAAAGGAGAACAAAACATTAGAAATATGTGGTTTTATTGCATGCAAGCTAAGCAAGTGTCAGGAGTGAGCGTTGCCATGCCATCTGTCTTAGATTCATTCTTTCCAGTGTTGACCACCAGAATCCTCATGCCAGCCCCTTAGGCTGTAGTCCTGTTGCTTCATTTTCATTAGCACCAAGTAGTGGATTTGCCAGACGAATGAAGGCAGCCTGCCCCCTTGGCACCCCTAAGGCACCCGTGAACTCCGTGTGAGCACAGTGCCTCGCTGCAGGCGTCTTGGTTGGAGATGTCTCCACGCCGCTCCTCCCGTGTGGTACTTGGGACTCTTGTGGAAGAGCCTGGAGCTGGGAAGGCTGTGAAATCGCCTGGCTCCTGGAGACATCCACTTCCAAGTGGAGCCCTCTCTGTTCTCTCAGGCCCATCACAGCCCTCGCCGCTGCTTCAGGTTCACTGTGCTTTGGCCAGGATTTAGAGGGAGAACCTAGCAGAGGCCTAACTTCATTTTGCTAAATAAATAAATGAATGAATAAATCAAACAAAACCCCCATCGTTTTGACATAGATTATTTTACGCCATGACACCTGAACTGGTTTCAGTTTGTGCCTCAAAGTATCTTGAAGACTGTCTGGCATGTGCAGGTGGAGGTGCCTCGGCCCCAGTTCGTGTGGAGGAAGGAGTCTGGGGGCGTGAGAGGTGTGGTATCTGTCACACTACAGCCCCAGGCAGCACTGTGAGCTGCGAAGGTGCACATGGCACGGGTTCGGGGAGCAATCACTTTGCATGGCCTGAGTGCTAGCACGGAGCTCGGGAAGAGTCACCGAGCCCTGGTTTAATGAGCAAGTGCTGTAAAAGGTGAGCGCAGAGTGTTTGTGGAAACCAAATGGGTGTTCCCTTTTTTGCCTGGATGGTTTGGGTTTGTTTGTTGTAAATACAAATACATTTCTTTCACTGATTCCTAAATGTAAAGGAAAATGCTTCCTGCAAAGAGGCAAACACTACAAAAATTGCAAAGCAAAAATTGAAAATGACCCACTACTCACAGGAAATGGTTAAAAAAGCTGTTACCTTGTTTTCCATACATACTGTCCACTTTGTACTTTTACCCAAATGGCCTCAAATTGTCATGCTGCTTTGCCATCTTCTTGTTTTCCCTGGACAGCTGCTGTCTGATGTCGCTGAGTAACGTCATCACGCACGTAAACTCGCTTTATTAGGACGGTTACTCGGCATAACTTGGGGAGCTGACTTCTGTGGTTTTCTGATTTTGTTTTATACTTGTGAATTTGCTGCTGTGGGCAGCACTGTTAAGATACTGCCGGCCCAAATGCTGGGCCGCTGGGGCTGCGGCCCGACTGTGTTGCAGCTCTGGATCACAGACCTCAGGCCTTGGGGAGAATCATGTGTTTCTGAGAAGGTGTCTTCCAGACTGATCTCCCTTTCAATTTTAGAGAAAGACCCACCATGGGTCCTGTGCTTTTCACCAGGTTTAATTTCTCCTATGCAGTGAGCAATGTGCGGATAACTGACCCAGAAGAATTTACTCCCAGTTGGCTAACAGAATAAGAAAAGTAAAAAAAATACTGCTATGCATGTCCTCCGATCAAAAATACAATGAGTTCCAAGCTGTGCAAGTTACTGGTGTCCTGGAGGGTTTGTAAGGGAATGATGGTCTTTACTGAATGTGCTTGCAGGGAACAGTGCTGGTACTGAGTGTCGGCAAATTCATTTACTTGCTGTTTATCCAAAAGTGATGTGTTTTAGAATCCCAGGGCTGACAAAAGTGCCAGGTTAGAAATGTCAAAACACTGCCTTTCCAGATGATTTACACTGTGTGCGACATTTATAGCCAAGCTATTTAATGGGGACACGAAGAGGAGCCTTTACCAAACTACCTCTGACCCTGCATTTCCTAGAGAGACTTCTGCAGGGACACTACAGAGCTCATTCTGAGGGGGCAGTGGGGGACCAGGGCTCCCCTCAAAAGCTTCAGTGGCCAGCCTGCTGCGGACGGGTGGTCCTGTAGGTGCAGATGTCCGGGCTGTGGGACAGCACTGGATGTGGACACTTGACTCTTTCTAGAGGGAGCAGAACCCAAAGCGCCAAATGTAAGTAGCAACTGAAAGAGAAGCTTTCAGCCCCAGTTTTACAGTAAAAGAGACAAAGTCAGAATTACCAACTTCTTACAATTATGAACAGGAAGGAAAAGAATGGTGACGAATGAACACAAATCCAGGATTGTCAAATGAAAATCATCAGAGAGCTGCGTGGGCGGGAAGGCGCGTTGTTGGGAGAGGACATGGGCTTCTCTCTGCAGTGTGAGCGTGCCCGGGGCGGACGCTGTGAATTCGAGGCTCTGGGCAGAAAGAGGGTTGGGAACCTAACGTCACAGAACCCTCCTGGGAAGGACGGCTGCAATGGTTCTGGGCTGAAAGACAGGAGGGAGACTGCAGATGAGGAAGCTGAGATCCGGAGAACAGGAGCAAAGAGCCTCAGATAGGAACCAAAGAGCAAAACAGATACAACGACAGCTCAAGAAAAGCGAAAATGTGTCTCCCGAAGTCCGCAAACTTGAAGGGAGAGTGTGACTGTTTGGGTTAAGGTCAGTTTACTGAATTCTGTAGCATTTCAATGTCTTTCCAGTCATAATATGCCTTTCAAATGGAAGTCCCTTCACAATGAAGTGATTAGTACATTTTAGTTTGGGTTTGACATATTAAGTAAATCCATTCTATTTTTAGAACCTTCTACTATTTTTTGATTTTGAATAATATCCTTTAGAAATAGGTTTTTAGAAATTAGACATCACTAGGTATGGTGCCACATGCCTGTAATCTTAGCACTTGGGAGGCTGAGGCAGGAGGGTCATTAGGAGTTCAGTGCCATCCTGAACTACATGATGAGATCCTGTTTCAAACACATTTTAAAAATTAACTATTTACAGGAAACTTCCTGAATGTTTTCTTCTTACATCTACCTCTTTCTCTTTAGAAAATCAAATAATTAGTAAAACATACTCTATTTTTGTTCTTAAAACACGAGTGCCAACAAGACATGAGTGACATTTTTGAAGAGAATTGTTTGGTGAGTTTGGTTGACCCAGAAGACTTCCTTTCTGGGGAGAGAATGAATGTAAGGGGTGCAGGATGGGCCCCTGGAGGACTCGCTGGTCCAGTCTCACTCAAGGTCAAAGCCCACTTGACAACCCCTTCCCATACTCACCTGGCCACAATCCTTAGAAATAGTTACTGATCATCCTACACTCACAACTTCTACTGAGGAGAAATACAAACCCTTGAATGCAGTGCTTTTCAGGGACTGTTACTGGATCATGTATTGCCTTCCTGTTTCTTTGGGGGTTTTTTTGTTTGTTTTGTTTTGTTTTTTTGTTTTTGGTATGGGAGATCAAACTTATGACCTTGTGCTTGCCAGGTAGGCGCTTAAGCCACTGAGCTAAATCTCCAGCTCGTCTTCCTTTTTGAATATCATCCAGGTCAAAAAATACAAGTAAGTGCTTTGGAAAAAGGTTGTGAAAGAGCTGTGGTGAATATTCCCTTGAGCCAGTGATGCCAAGCCATTTAGAGACAAATGCTCAAACTGCACCCCAAAACCCACTTTGTGTGTATTACAAAGTGCCAACATGGTAATTAGACTTAAATATTGATATTTTAGTTTAGAAAAAACAACCCATCCGTGAATATCTTTCATCTTAAAAGAAAATCACAATAACACACATGCAATAGGTTCACCACCACTGCCTTAGGTGGTAGAAGCTTTAACGTAAAACTGGACAGTCTGTTGGCAAGAGTTATTAAACCCTGCCCTGTTAGGACTTGAACAATTTATATAAAAATCAATGAACAGACCATGGGATATTTTTAGTTCATATTGGAAGAGTAATGTATGCTAAGGTATATTATTTTCAACCTCATCAAATAAAACACTGTCTAATCATAAACACAATTTTCCAACAGTGTATGAAATTACCAACTCTTCAGTCATCCTACTTTACATTCTCCATTTTTTTATTTATTGGATTTCCTTTATTTTGTTTTTAACATGGTGAGATTTCAACATGATTTAAAAATTATTCCAATATAGCCAAAAGAAAAAAATTCTTTCTGACAAAACGGTATGTTTGCTGAAAGAATTCATTTCATTAATATAAGCTGGATTTGTGTTCTGCTTTTAAGAATACGGTCATTGCTTGAGTTTTGGGAATAATTTTGGTTGTAAATGAATAGGAATTTTAAAGTAATTCTCACATAACTAGGGAGACAAATTAATATAGTTTAATTGAAGGGAGGGGAGGGCAATGGGCAGAGTCACATGTACAAGTATAAGCTCCCCTAGATAAATATGGTCATTATGTATATCTAAAGTGTACCAATAAACAACAAAAGATTATAGAAGAAAATCTGGAAAAAAACAAAAAGGTTTAAGAAAGAATAGCAAATAGTCGGCCACTTTTGAGCACAGCTGAAAGATCTGCTGTCAATATAGGTGACTAAACTCCCAAGATGAGCATGCAAGTGCACACACACACACACACACACACACCCACGAAGTGGGTTCATGAACAACAATATAGGAATCCAAGCAACCACACTGACAAATTTGAAATTGAATTAATTGAGCTCAGGACCACTCCTATACAGACCCCCTCCCCCTTTTCAGGGTCCAAACAAGTGGCACTGAACTGGAAAGCGCACAGAGTTTTTAAAAGAGAGAAAGTCCTGTTGGAAACAATTTAGCTAGAATCTTACATTAATTTTTGGTTGACACTTTCTTTCCTTGAGCAGGTTAATTCTTCTCCTGTGGGTAACAGCTCATTCTGCTTTTCTCATGGGACTTATACCCTGAGTAATTTTCCATTTTCCTGGGTCAAACACAGGGCACTAGTTAAATGCAAGGCTCAAGATGGTGTCAGTTGTGCCAAGCTATAATACACAGACTGATACTGCCTTACCTTATGTTCCTTAGAAATGTTTTCATAGGTTTACAGTCACCTGTTTCTTTACTCAACACTTAGTTCTGAGTGCCCACAGTTATACCTGAATGAATGAATGAATGAATGAATGAATGAATGAATGAATGAAGTGCCTGCTTCAGGAAGCTTGTGCTGTGGCGAGGAAGACAGCTATAAATAAATACTGGCAGAGCAAAGGGGTGGCCTGTGACGGTGGAGGATGGGACCTCACAGGAAAGGCTCTTCAGAGGAGGCACCCGGACACAGAACGCTAGCGCCCACAGAAACCCATTTCCGCTTCCGGCCAGCGACAGGAAGTGGGAAGCACCGGAAGAGCCCGCCAGGAGGCCACCGCAGTGAGGGCCGCCGGGAAGGTGAGTTAGGGAGCGAGGGTGGCCGACGGCCTCGCAGGCCAGCAGAAGGCCTGGACCACACCCTTACTGTGGTGGACGCTTTGTCCTCATCAGGGTGCAGGAGGAATTTCACATCAAACAAACCGGGGCACGTTCAGTGGGGCCCGAACAGGGTGCTGAGAGCAGGCTTGACCTGTCGGGTTTCCAGATTCTCTAGACCCTCACAGGAGCCTTCAGAGTTTATGAGGATAATTCGTATGGTAGTCTTAATATAATCCCCTGGAAAAGAGCACTAATGAGATGTGATGATGACAGAAAAATGAGGTAAGGCATAACCTTTTTCACCAAGACAATCTCCTTATTGCTATATTTAACAATGTATCAAACCCATTGGAATAGTAGGGATGTAGTATTAATGAGATTTCATCCATAGGTACATTTTTATCTTGCATTAAGAATTTTTATTTGATTCCTGGTGCCAGAAAAAAAAATAATTTTTACAGTAGATGAACGAATGTGAATTGTGAAAATTGAGAATTTATTATCATTGCCCAATTTGCGTCTTATGTATCATTATTATTCACCCATAAACTCTGAAGCTAAACACACAAACTACACTAAACAATGCTTACAGTATACTGGCTGTTAATATGGGGGTGATTTTAGTGAAGAACCAGAGGTAATACATATCCATCAGGGCTGAAATAGACTACATAGTCAATGTTTGTGCTCAGTATCAATTCTTGGAAGAAATTAACCTTTATTGTAAGTTTATAACTTATTTATACTTTCTGTGGTAGTTTTTATGTCCTTACATAGCAAAATAAATGGCTGAAAACAAAATTAATCCCCATCCCTCTCCAATCTCATTGTGTAATTTTCCCTTCAGTTAAGATGTAGAAATTAGTCTGGAATGTTGATATGCTGGAAATTGTTTCAGACTGGCCCCCACCCACAGTACTTATGAGAGATACATGCTCCAGGTTAGAGATGAAACCATTTGTGTGTGTCTGCCTCTTTGGGGGTGGCAGAGCTGGGTATGTCCCTGTAATGGAGTAATTTGACTGTGGACAATGTGATTGCCTACAATGGGGCTCAGTGGTCATGCTGGTACTTGAGGGTCCACTCTCAGTGCTCCTCTCCTAAGACACAGGCCAGTCACTGCTGCTTGAGCCAGCTCAGTGAATTAATCTTATTACCCTGGCCCCTTCCATGGGGTGTCTAGCAAGTTCCACAGAGCGACAGCTCTTTCTTTCCTGGTTCTGCTTTCTACTCATTTTCAACATCTGTACATTTTTTCTCCTCTTTTTGTAATTACATTTTGTAGTGATGATACCTGTAATCCCAGCACTCAGGAGGCTCAAGCTGGAGGATGAGTTTGAGACCAGCCTAGACTACAAAATGAGTTGAAGGCCAGCCTGAACTTCATAGCAAAACCCTGATTTAAAAAAAAAAAAGAAAAAAGAAAAGGAAAAGGAAAAAAATTGTATTTTCCTTACTAAATAGTGTTAGTTTTCCTGCTAGTACTTCAGTCTCATTTTTTATTATAATCAAAATGAGTTAATTGCTCAGTGCTATTTAACTTGTTCATGCTATTTGTAAGTAGTAAGAAGTATCTATTTTTCATAATAACTAAGCTCCAGTCTTTGCGTTTTAATTCCCCAGCATTAAGTGTTTTCACATCCATACTTCCAGAGGTCACATAAATTTTATTTGGCGAGTTGAAACTATTAATTATAAATACGAGGCTGAGCCCGAGTGAAATTTCCCTTTGATCTGGGTCTGTGTAGAGAAAGTCGTGCATGATCTTAGCAACTTCAGTCCCAAGTGCTGGGAGCAGCAGGGCACATGCAGGGCTCCCTGAGGGCAGTGGCTGGCCTCCTGTGAGGCCTGGCTCTGCCTGGGGAACTGCAGTCCCATCCATTCCTGGACTTCAGGGGCGGGGCTGTTCATCTTCTGTGGGGTTTCACCTTCATGCAGGTGAGTGTGGCAGCCTCCTGCTGTGCTTGAAAATTAGTTCCACTCCAACAATTGACAAAATATTAGATCAGCTCAACTACTCTTTGGTTTCAGATCACTCAAAGTGTTTTCATGAGTATGACAAAAGAAATTGAAATTCATAAAAGGTGATGTCCCTGAGTGCATTTTCACTTAGGCATTTTCCCTGAGGATTTTATAGTATTGCAAGATCACTCTCAGACGCATTCATACAGAATCAGGCTCATTGAGATTCTGATGGCTTTTTTTCCATCCATGATAGTGTTTGTAGTGTTTTTCTGGAAAATTAGCTCAATACTTGAAGTGACTGTGAAGATGGTGCTGTGAGGATTTAAAGTGCATCTCTGAGTTTGCTTGCGCACGAAAGCTTACCTTATGTTCTTCATTCCAGGGTCTCATGCTATGGCTAAGAGAAAGCCTCCTGAGAAAGGAAAGATTTTCTTGACATCCCACTAAAATTTTTTTCTGATTGAGATTTTATTTATTCTTATTTTTAGAAGAATGTACTTGCTGTGGGCACTTGGTGCAGGTACCTAAGGTACAAGTCTTTATATCCCCTCCCCCTGCCTTGTCTCCCCCCACTCCTTCCCTTGGTCCTTTTCAGAGTTTAAACATTTGAAGAATAAAGCGGGGATGCTTATTACTTGGCAAATTATAAATGCTCTAAAGCCAGGCATTCCGTGGCAGATGTTGCCAACCCTGTAAGAAGAGGTATGTGAGACTCCCTGGCACAGAACTTGGTGGGGCTTTGCATCCACACAGCTGAACATTTACCAGAACCCTGGGCGGGTACCCTGGAGGCAGTGGGAGAACAGGTCCAGGATTGTGATTCAAAAACAAAGCCCCACATAGGTGAAGTGGTTTGGCTGCCACGAAGCTGTTCCGTCTGTCATGGCTTCCCAGGACTTCTGTGCATCTTTGCCACTGTGGCTCCTTTAGGATGTGATGAAAACTCCTGACATTGAAGACTATGAAGCGACTGTGATCCAATTCTGACCTCTTGGTTTTTAAGCTTTCTTGGAGAAATTTTCTCATACCTAGGTTCTTTATTTCTTTGTCCCTCACTGTATGTTTTGAGCCTTTTCTCTGTACTTTGAGGTACATTTGCCTAAAGCTGTAGAAGTTTTTCTGGAATAAAGCCAGAAGATCCCGGAGGGTGGGAATTCCAGAATCGAGGACTTTGGTGGCAAGGCCTCTCCTTATCTGAGTGAAACATAAAGGTAATATTGGTCTAAGACTGCAAAATGAGAAAAGATAATAAATAGAGGGCTAAGATTGCTTTTACTCTGTGGGTAGTTTGAAATAATGTCCTTTCAGTGTTAAAATAGACATCTTATGAGATATCTTTGTTGTCTTTAACGGGTAGAAGTAGAAATGCTCAGTCTCAAAATGAGTTTCTAATTTCCAGATCTGTAGTTCTGAAAATCAGTGGTCCATGGGACCCAGCAGACTAGTTCAACTAATGAGTCAGACATGTACCCTGTCCTCAGGAACAGAAGCGGTGACCCAGTCTCTTCTCCCTGTGAGTTCTTGGACTTAGGGCCTCCCATGGTGCTTGTCCTCATCCACACCTGCCCTTCCCTGGATACACCTGAGTTCACTGATAGGACTGCTGCTCTTTAGTGTACCAACAGCCACATGTGCTCCGTGTAAGGTGTCACATCTCCCAGTGTTTGCACAGATCATAAGGGCCGTAGTACATACTAATAACATTATAAAGGAAGGAGAAACTAGAGGTTATCTTGAAAATTAGTAGATTGAATAGGACACTAGTTAATTTCAGTACCTAAAGATTTTTTATCAGGATAGAATGTGCCAAAGTGTATTCAGCACCTAACACACATGTGATAATTTATGATAGACATATTTAAGAGGGAGGCACAGTGACCTGTGTTTCCAAAATTTAGATTATAGTACCTTTTCTGATAGTTTTTGCCTTTGTCATTTCTCATTGCTGAGTCAAAATACCTGATGCTCACAACTTAAAAGGGGAAAGGTTTGTTTTAGTTCACACTTTGTAGAGGTTTTATTCCAGTCAGCTGACTCCAGCAGAGGGCGGCACAACAGAGGAGAAACAGTCCATGGCGGTGCAGGCAGGAGCGTTACATACCCTCCAGACCGTGCCCACAGTAACCCTCCTCCCCGCACCTCGCTTCACCTCCCAGCATCACACCCAGCAAGTCAGCGGACTAATCCAGCATCACACAACCATGATCCAGTCACTCATAAAGCCCACCTATGAGCACATCAGGCTTTGGGGGCCATCGAGACATAAACTATAACAGTTGATATTATTTGGTCCATCAGTAAAATCATTTTGCAAGATATACTGTTTTTCCTCTTTTCTTTAAGATTTCTCAACCCATGTCCTTTAATGCTCACCCAAGAACATCATGTCAGGCCTTCCCAGTGCCAGGGCCTGCATAGTTCATCTTTGCTTGCCTGGAATACACAGACAGACATAAACACCAGGTTTGCTGTGACCAAGGGTGGTATGGAGTGTTTAGCATGTGCATGTTTCCAGCTGCCTGTCCTGAGGAGCACAGGATGACTGCCTTCACTTTGTGCATTTTTACTTTTGTCAGAGCATGTGCTCCCCATGATAGCCCACACCGGCATGGAGACTCGTCTTGTCAGAGCTGACAGTGATGTTGCACGTTAACTTCTTTAGGAGAAATCATTCACTGGACTCCCGAGGAGAGCTGGGCACTCAGGGCTATCTGAGGAAGCAAGGTCATTTATTGTAGGGTCACTCTGGAAGTCATGGGAACATCTTTCACCACACAGTGACACTCACCACACGTCAGAGCCTGTGTCACAAACCAGCCAGGGGTCCGGAGAACACAGAAACAGCTGTTCTGGGCTGCACAGAGCCCAGAGTGTAGCTGGAGATGGGGCCAGGCTTTATCAGTTGCTGCCTGTGTTGTCATCTGAGGCACTGAGGTCTGGGTCTCCAGTTAACACCTGTGCCATCCATTCCTGGCACCACTGGAGTCTTACTGGGTATTTCAAACTCAAAACTGGGTCCTAGCACCCGACTAATTCTGTCTTGATCAATATTTTTCTCTTGACCAAGCAATTCTTCTGCTATAGCAGTTTTGATCTCTATGGATCACAGAACAGTTTTGACTTTTGTTATAATTGCCAATAAGGACCAGACAGGCAGAAGCATGACCACAAGAGAAGGAAACAGATGAGCGTAGAATCACGAGCAGTTGTTGGAAGTCAGTCCCCAGGCCTCCCGACTGCTTGTTAAAGGCTGCACCCAGCCCTGCTGCATCAGGAATTCTGCAGGGACCCCGTGATCTGTCTGTCACACTCACAGG